ATCATAATGAATTTGGGAAAAGTTTAAAAGATTCCCTCTAAGAACTGAAACAAGATAAGGATAGCCACTTTTACCACTCTTGTTCAATATAGTACTGCAAATCCAAGGCAGAACAATGAGGCAAGAGCAAAAAACAAAAGGCATCCAAATTAGAAAAGAAGTAGTCAAATTATCCCAGTTGGCTAATGAGATGATCTTGTATGCAGAAAATCTTTGGACTCCACCAAAAATCTCTTAAGTTGGTAAATTAATTCAGTAAAGCCTCAGGATACAAAATCAATGTAAAAAATCAGTGGTGTTTCTCTACAACAATAAAAATCTAGCTGAGAACTAAAGCAAGGATGCAATTCCACTTACAATAGCTACAAAAATAAAACAAAACACCTAGGAATGTATTTAACTAAGAAGGTGAAAGATCCCTGCAAGGAAAACTAGAAAAGACTGATGAAGGAATCGAAGGAAAAATAAAATCTTTTGTGAACAAGCAAGCACTCAGAGATTTCATCACCACCAGGCCTGCTTTACAAGAGCTTCTGAAAGAACCACTACAAATAGAAAGGAACAACCAGTATCAGCCTTTCTAAAAAATACCAAAAAATAAAGAACATCAACGTAATTAAGAAATTACATCAACTAATGGGCAAAACAGCCAGCTAACATTAAATGGCAGTATCAAACTTACATATATGGTTATTAATTCTAAATTTAAATCGACTAAATCCCCCAATCCAAAGACACAGACAGGCAAAAAAAGCCAAGACCCATTGGTATGCTACATCCAGATCTATCTCACATGCAAGGATACATAAAGACTCAAAACAAAGGGATGGGGAAAAATTTGCCAACCAAATGTAGAGAAAAAATAAATAAATAGAAAGCAGGAGATGCAATTTTTGCTGATGAAATAGACTTCGAAGCAACAAGGATCAGGAGCGGCAAAGAAGGATATTACATAATGACAGGGGGATCAATGTTACAAGAAGAGCTAAAGATCCTAAGTGTATACGCACCCAATACAGGAATGCCCAGATATATAGGACTTATGGGGAGACTTGGACTCCCACACAATGGTAGTCGGAGACTTCAGCATCAGTATTAGACAGATCAATGAGACAGAAAGTTAACATCGATATCCAGGACTTGAACTCAGATCCGGAACAAGTAGACTTAATTGACATTTGTAGAACTCTCCACTTTAAATACACAAAGTGTACGCTCTTATCAGTACCACATCACACCTATTTATAGGTTTAAATGAAATATTGGTTGGCTGCTTGTTAATTATTTTCTTCCCTCATTTTTTTTTATGCCTCTATTATTAAACACAATTACAGGAATACCCATTTTTAGACTGCATTCTAGCCCGGGCAATAAAGCAACACCCCTGTTCTCTCTCCCTCTTCCTTTTCCTCTTTCTTCCTTTCCTTCATTCTTTATTTTATTTTATTTTTATTCTTTCTCTCTAAAAAAAAAAAAAGACTGATGAAAGAAATTGTAAGCGACATAAAAAAATGGAAAAACATCCTATGCTGTTAGATAAGAAGAAATAATATTATTTAAATGACCATATGGCCCATGGCCCAAAGCTACAAGCTCAATGCAATCCTTATCAAATTACTGATGTCATTCTTCACAGAATTAGAAAAAGCAATTCTAAAGTTCATTTGAAACCAAAAAACAGCCCAAATTGCCAAAGAAATCCTAATAAAAAAGAACAATGCTGCAGGTACACATTGCCTCACTTCAAAATATACTACAAGGCTATAGCAACCACAATAGCATGGTACTAGTATAAAAATACCCACAGATCAATGGAACAAAATAGAGAAACCAGAAACAAAGTCACATACTTACAGCCAATTGATCTATAACAAAGATGGTAAGAACACTACACTGGGGAGAAGACATACTTTTCAATTAATGGTGCTGGGAAAACTGGATTACAACATGCAGAAGAGTGAAACTGGACTCATGTATGTCACCATATACAAAAATAAAATTAAGATGGATTAAAGACTTGAATGTAAGATCCAAAACTACAAAAATACTAGAAGAAAACCTAGGGAAAACTCTTCTAGATACTGGTTTAGGCAAACAATTCATGACTAAGACCTCAAAAGCACAGGCAATAAAAACATAAATAGACAAATGGAACTTAATTAAACTAAAAAGCTTCTGCACCAGAAAAGAAATAATCAGCAGAATGAACACACAATCTCTGGAATGAGAGAAAATATTTGCTAACTATACATTGAACAGGGACTAATATCCAGAATTTACAAAGAACTCAACCACAAAGCCCCAAATAATCCCATTAAAAAGTGGACTAAGAACATGAACAGACATTTTTCAAAAGAAGGCAAACAAATAGCCAACAAGCACATGAGAAAATGCTCATTATAACTAATCATCAGTAAAATGCAGATTAAAACCACAATGAAATATGATATACCTTACACCAATCAGAATGGGTATTAAAAAGACAAAAAAAAAAAAAACAGACATTGGGGGAAGAGGACGCAAAGAAAAAGGAACTTTTATATACTATTGATGAGAATGTACATTAGTATAACCTTTATGGAAAACAGTATGGTGAGTTCTCAAAGAACTAAAAATAGAACTACCATTTGTTCCAGTAATCCCACTACTGGGTATCTACCTAAAGGGAAAGAAATCATTAAATCAAAAAGGGACCTGCACTCATATGTATAACGCAGCAGTATTCAAAATCAAAAAGATATGGAATCAACCTAAGTGTACATAAATGGAGGAGTGGATTTAAAAAGTCCTATATATACACACTACTACTTAGACATAAAAAAATGAAATTATGTCTTTCACAGCAACATGGATAGAAATGAAGACCATTATCTTAAGTGAAACAACTGAAACACCAAAAGAGAAATACTGCATGTTCTTCTTACTCAAAACGTGAGCTAAATAATGTGAACACATGGAAGCAAAGTGTAGAGAGATAGACAATGGAAACTTGAAGGGGTAGGGGACTGGGAGTGGAGTGGATGATGGAAGGTTGCTTGGTGGGTGCAAGATGCATTGCTCCAGTGACAGATGCACTAAAGGCCCTTACTTTACCACAATGCTATATATCAACGTAGCAAAACTGCACTAGTTTCCCATAAGTATTCACAAAATAAATTTTAAAAAATTTGTTTAAATTATCAAAAGTATCAGAACCCATTTCTTGATATTTTCTGCTTTCATTTTTTTTTTTAATTGTACTTTAGGTTCTGGGGTACATGTGCAGATTATGCAGGATTGTTGCATAGGTACACACACGGCAATGTGGTTTGCTGCCTGCTTTCATTTTTTTCACCTAACATTCAATCTTCGAACTACTGTAAAATAAATTTCCTTCTTGGTGCAAGCAAAACTAATCTTTCCAAGTGATCAATAATTTCTTGGTTATTTGAATGAACAGACACTTTTCAGGCCTTTGAGCATCTAACAGCAACATAATGCTCTGGTTAGTAGCAGACAATAGCAATGCAAATCAGTGCTCAGCCACTTACTGGCTATTAGACCTTGAATAAATCACTTAACCTATGTTTGTTTTCCAGCTATAAAATGAGAATAATACTTAGGGTTCTTAGGATGAAGAGATTACATATACCAAGGATTTAGGAGAGTGCCTACTAGACAGCAATCTGTACAAGTGTTATTGAAACTTGCTTTCTTAAGTATCAAAGATACTACTCTCTCCTGAGTTTCTTCCTCCTTCTCTAGACCATCTGCTTTTTATTCATGCTACTTTCTTTCACTGAGTCCTTCAACATGGTTGTCTTCTATTCTATGCTTTGGCTCAAATCCACCTAAATTGTAGACCCTTTGGGTGTCAGATTCCCAAATCCATTTGCCTACTGGACACTGCAATTTATATACCTCTAAAGACCGTTCAAATATGTCCAAAATTGAACTCATCATGTTTCTCCCTGAAAGTATACCCCCTAATGTCTTCTCCCGGCTGGCTAGGAATTAGAAACAGAAGTTTCCTGAATTTCTTTGCCACTCTGGTCTAATTGTTCTCTAAGACCTACTGATTCGGCTTCTTTATCCTGTCAAGTCTAAAACAAACTATTTATATTCAAATTCCTCCTCTATTACATATTATCAATATGATCTCAGGCAAATTGCTTAATCTTTCAGAAACATAGTGTCCTTAATAACACTATCTACGTCATAGGTCTTTGTGATGATTAAATAATCTATGTAAAGCACTTAAAACACTACCTAATATATATATAAAAAAAAAAAAGCAATGAATGTTAACTTTAGTTTTTACTATTACTATCTCTTTTCAATGTCCTTCCCATCATCCCCTCTGACACTGGCCTAGATCATCAACTTCCCATATAAATTACTGTAATTGCCTCTTAACTAAACATCTTTCCTCTAATCTTACCTTCTCCCATATATTCTCTACCTAAAAGCAAAGTTTTTTCAACTCAAAGTACATCAAGTCTTTCTCCTGCTAAAACTCACAAAGGGGTTCCCATAGCTTTTAGGGTATTATCCAAATTCCTCAACATGCATATACAAACTCTTTGTTTGTTTTACCCCAAAGGAAGGTACAGTGCAGTCTCTCGTCCCGTAATTTCCAATTCAACTGTCCTGATCTGTCAGAATCAAAAGCTCTCTCATGTTCACATATCACAATGCTAATATCACACCTATCAATTTTAATTTGAGATTAGGTGATTAATCTGTCAGACTCCCCATAAATGTGATTACCTTTAGTTCAGGGACTATATTTATTCATCTTTGTACCTCAGAAACTTACTCCAATGTTTCACAGACGAATTTGATAACTGTTTGCTAAATAAATACCAAATAATGAAGAATAATTTATTAAAGTATTCAATTTCAAATGTTATGACAAATATAAAAACCATACCTAAACTACTTCTCATAAATAACCTCAACATTAAAAAACTACATTCCTTTTAGTAGGAAAAAGCGTTCTGAGTTACAAAAATTCTTACCTTAATATATTTCTTGCTATAATCACAACCTGGCTGTAGGGATCGGAAATCTACCTAATTTACTCAGTGGCTGAATTTCAGGCACCCCATTGACTTCAATTCAAGTGGCATATCAGCTCTGTTTCACACTGATGTCCAAAGCAAATTCAGCTAGAGAAGCTGACAACTTGCTGCTGAAGATACAAAACCAGTGTTTTACCCAAAATGCAGTCAATAATTTGCTTTAAGCTTCTGACTTAGTTTTGCTTTTCCTTTCCTTTATTATAGTTAACACGTTCAGGGTTGGGCGTGGCAGAAGGATGGATTATTTTACAATTTTATTGCAAAGATCAATACATAACATTCTTCCAAGGATTTGAAACTTAACCATTTTCTACTTAGCTTGTATATTTAAAGTACCTCTAAAAAGCCAATTTTAAGATCTGTAACAACTTCACTAACAAACGCCTTTAACATTGTACTTTAAAATGTAAAAGTTTTTGGGGAAAGGGAGGCTGAAAAATCGTGTTGTTGTTTTTTTTTTAACCCAAGGCAGTTGTAACTATTGCACAGGCAAATTGTGCACAAAAAGCTTAGTACTCCAAGACGCTTCTGTGGCCTCCTCCCTTCACCCGCTAAATAACGGGGAAAAAAATTATTGAACTGAGGTTAACTTGTGCCTCCTAGGCTCAACCTCATTACACAAACCTCTTGACTGGAACACCCACAGGTATCGATATCTAATTTTAATGTATGCGCACCAACCTTCCCCCATGCCACCCAAAACACCAAAAAAGATGCTGGACACAGCAAGCTGGAGATAATCACGCGTAAGAAGTGTTTCTCTGCCATAATTACATTAAATTTTGATCTAAACAAATTCAATCCCGGGCCAACGCGTTCCGTCTGGTACCCACTCAACGAACACACCAAACCTTAAAAACTTTACTCACCCGCACTCTAGAAAGAAACCTAGGAAGAGTTTAGCCGGGCGCGCACGTGACGTCATACGCACGCTGGGCGTACATCTCCACGCATGCGTGCAGGGTCGCTGGGCATATACAGCCGCTTGCTCTCAGCCCCAGGGGAACAAGCTGCCTAATGGTTCACACGCTGAAGGCGCCTGGAGGTTTGACGAAATACGAACCCGATGCGGCGCCAGTGGGACTTAGGGCCAAGGTACAGGCCCCGCCCCGTTCGGCCACAGCCCCCAGAATTCTCGCCGCTCCCGTTAGCTCCGCCCCAGTCGCTTTCCCTCTTTCGCGTCGGGAGGCACCCTCAGGAGAAGCGGGCGGGTCTGTTGGGCGGGATTTGATCTTCCCTTTGGTTGATTGGAAGCTCCTGTAAGCAGGGCCCTTCTTTTAATGTCCATTTCTCTTCCCCCAAGAAGTAGCCGCCTACTGCAGTGTTTATACAAGGAAGCATTTACAAGGATAACAATGTTATTTGAGAGTTTTTTTTTTTTTTTTTTTTTTGAGTCGGAGTTCCGCTCAGGTTACCCAGGCTGGCGTGCAATGGCACGGTCTCGGCTCCGCCTCCTGGGTTCAGGCAATTCTCCTGCCTCAGCCTCCTGAGTAGCTGGGATTACAGGCACGCGCCACCATGCCCAGCTAATTTTTTATATTTTTAGTAGAGACGGGGTTTCACCATGTTGACCAGGATGGTCTCGATCTCTTGACCTCGTGATCCACCCGCCTCGGCCTCCCAAAGTGCTGGGATTACAGGCGTGAGCCACCGCGCCTGGTCTATTTGAGAGTTTTTAATGGTAATTTCAGGCATTGGCATAATGCCATCAATGAGTCTTGCTATTTACAGACAGATTTGATTAGCCTTGCCATTGTTTTATTGGGCTATGATTTTGTGGTATAATCAATATTTATTATGAATTATTTTATAGATTTATTATACTTTCTTTAATATTTATTATAACTTGTAATTGGTAAATATTATAATTTATCATTTTTAATGATAAATTGTTAAATGTGACTCCTCTGCTAATTTCAGATATATGCCTTCTATCATTTAAGTGAAACCATCTTAGTGTGAAACCAAATGTAATAATTACATGAATATTTCCAAGGCTAATTTGAACTAAAATATCTTCTCTATATACATATTTGCAGGATGATATAGCTAGCTATGTTTAAAGCGCCTTTTTTTTTTTATTAACAGGAAGCATTCAGTGCTAGTCCAAATTCCGTTTTCCCTCCCCACCCCTGTAGTTATATCCCACACAGAAGCCAGGGGTGACAAGTGCATGCACTCAGGAGCTGACCATTTGAGGAAAACTATAAGGAAAGTTTAGATGCTATCCTCCTTCCTTCTCTGGTTTCATCCAGCTGTGAAATACTGTTCCTTCTTTTTTTTTTTTTTTTTTTCAGTTGTACTTTGGGCTCTGGGGTACATGTGTGCATCCTGCAGGATTGTTGCCTAAGTACATACATGCCACATCCACCCTCCCCACCACCATCACCTACATCAGGCATTTCTCTTGGTGTTATCCCTCCCCCTCCTCCCTTCCCCCTGCTGTTCCTCTCCTGCTGTCCCTCCTCCTCCCCCCACCTAGCCCAGTGAGTGATGTTCCCTTCCATGTGCCCAAGTGTTCTCATTGTTCCTCACCCGCCAATGAGTGAAAACGTGGTGTTTGGTTTTCTGTTCTTGTGTCAGTTTCCTGAGAACGATGGTTTCTAGATTCACCCATGTCTCTACAAGGGACGCGAACTCGTTGTTTTTTTATGGCTGCATAGTATTCCATGGTGCATATGTGCCACATTTTCTTTGTCCATTCTATCATCGATGGGCATTTGGGTTGATTCCAGGTCTTTGCTGTCGTAAACAGTGCCACAATGAACATACGTGTGCATGTGTCTTTATAATACAACAATTTATAATCCTTTGGGTATATACCCAGTAGTGGGATTGCTGGGTCAAATGGAATTTCTATTTCTAGATTCTTGAGGAATCGCCACAGTCTTCCATAATGGTTGAACTAATTTACACTCCCACCAACAGTGTAAAAGTGTTCCTTTTTCTCCACATCCTCTCCTGCATCTGCTGTCTCCAGATTTTTTAATGATTGCCATTCTAACTGGCGTGAGATGTATCTCGATGTAGTTTTGATTTGCGTTTCTCTAATGACCAGTGAAGATGTGAAGCCGTCCACATGGGCTTTGGATTCTGACCACTTTCATCTCCCCTCCATCATCAGTAATATATCTTCTCTCAATGTATTTTCAGCTTTCCTTCTTTATTCATTCTTTCCCTTCAGCATTTAAACACATTCTCCCAGGGTCTTGCTCTGTTGCCCAGGCGGGAGTGCAGTGGTGAGATCATAGCTCATTGCAGCCTGGAATTCCTGGGCTCAAAGGATCCTCTGGCCTCAGCGTTCTGAGTAGCTAGGACTACAGGCACAAGCCACCACACTCAGCTAATTAAAAAAAAAAAAAAGAAATTTGTGGAGACTAGGTCTCACTATGTTTCCTCTTCGGTCTCACACTCCTCTGACTCATTGTGGGCGCTAAATATTTGCTGAATGAACAAATGCTATGGAAAACTATTTACCTAACTTCACTTCTGACTTCCACCCCTCCATCCCACCCCTATGCCTCTCCCCATTGCACTTAAGCTGCCCTTAGAAAAACCACTGAAGAACTCTTTGTTGCTAACCCCAAAAGACTTTTTTAGTGTCATATTTTTGAAAACATTCTTTATGCTACAGCCTGGACCTAGTTTTCCTCTTACCTTCTACCAACTGAATCTTTTAAAATTTCTCATCATCTGTTTAGCCTGTAAGTATCCATGTTCTATAGAATGTGATGAAGATATCTAACAGAGGTATACATAACTGCTTTTTTTGTTGTTGTTAAAGTGATTGTTCTCAGTTCCTGTAAGATACAAACACTTCCTACACATCCAATAACTTGCAATCATATTTCTTCTGCATAATCTCCCAATTAGTGGCAGAGGCTCCAGAGCTTCTAATGCTTTCCTTCACAATAGCAATTAGTTTTCACAAATGAAGAAAATTTCTCATGAATGTACAGTACAATTTAAGATAATAAGAGAGGGGAAAAAAGAGATTGACTTAACTGAATTAGGCAACAAAGACATATTAATGCCAAAACAATTCATTACTGTTATTCTATGCCTGTTGAAGCAGCATTAAAAAGCTACTCTAAAGCTAACAATTAATGTAATTGTTATTAAAGGTATGACTTTTAAAGGTGCAATGAAAAAAATTTTTATATTAAAATCTACAGGGGTAAAAATCTTCAATTTTAAGAAAAGTTAAAATGAAATTTTCCTTAATCAATAATGAAGACCAAAAGCAGAATGGGTAATTTTTTAAGTGATACATAAATATAAGGATTCAGTGCAGTTATTATAAATAAAAGTGAAATTAATCTGCAAATTTCTGACACATCTTCCCTCTGATAGTATTTTCATATTATCCTTTCCTATTTACTTTTTAGTGTCTAAATGTAAAATTGAATTGCCTAACATGTCCAACACTTCAAATTCATTTCCTTTGCATTAATTGTGGGATGATTAACCCATTCCTATTTGCAGTCTATCTGTTCTGCAAGCTGTTGTCATCAGGTTGCATCCCTGGCACCTGAAAATATCATCATCTTACTCCTGAGATTTTCTAGAAATGATAGCTAGGCTACATTAGTTGGAGTTCATTTCCTTGTATCTAGTAGCCTTTCTGCCCAATCCCAATGAACATCTAAATGGATTTGTAAAATCCTGTTTCAGTAAAGCATCAAATTTTTATATTGTTATGTAGCTGAACCAGGAGAAAAATAAAACATAAACTTTTATAAAATGTATGTTTAAGTTATAAATTTAAATGATAAAGGATGTAATCATTCAGTGCATATTAGAAGAAAATAAAGATTTTTTAAAATGTAATGTTAGGTACCACAAATTGAGACAACATTAGTGTCTATTGAAGAGGTCTCCCAAAAGCTTTTATATTTTAATAATTAATTTTTTAAAATTTATTATTTAAAAAAGTCCTGTTTCAGTTTAAAAATTATCTTTCCTTCAGTTCCTACTCATTTTAAGAATTGTCCAAGAAAAAAATAACCTATATTCAAATTTTAATTATAAACTACAAGTAGGTCAATATTTTATAGCGTATTGATTCATACAAGTGAATTACAAATGTATGCGTTCTCTTGTTCAAAAAATATAAGAAATGTATGACTTCCCCAAAAATAGAAATGTTTCCTGATATACCTCATATGTAACATTTTCTTACTTTCTTTCTTTCTTTGTTCCTTTGTTCGTTCCTTCCTTCCTTCCTTCCTTCTCTCTCTCCCTCCCTCCTTCCTTCCTTTCTTCCTTTCTTCTTTCCTTCTTTCTTTCCTTCCTTGTTTCCTTCTTTCTTTCCATCTTTCCTCTTTCTTTCAAGATAGTGTCTCGCTCTGTTGCCCTGGCTGGCATACAGTGGGAAGATCATAGCTCCCACTGTATTCTCAATCTCCCAGCCTCAAGCGATCCTCCACTTCAGCCTCTTGAGTAGCTAGTACTATAAGAAGGCAACATTATGCCCTGCTAATTATTTTTAGTAGATGTGAAAATCTCACTGTATTGCCCAGACTGGTCTCAAACCCTGGGTTCAAGTGATCCTCCCACCTTGGCCTCCCAAAATGGTGAGATTACAGACATTAGCCACCATTTCTGACATTTTCTTAATAAGTTTTTTTTAAAAAAAGGCTTTATGTAAACTTAATGAATATTCAGGGAACATTTACCAAGTACTTGACATTGAGCAAGGCCATTTAACAGTAAGTTCAGTACAGAGAGGCATAGCCCTGGCCAATTTGGAGCTTACAGTGGAGACAGACTAGTATCCCACATCATAATCAAAATCTTGCATTGATTTATCTGAATTTTGAAAAAAGACTCTGTCTCCACTGTGTGGCTCTGGTGAAACTGGCTCACATTAAACAAACTCACATTGATATTAAAAACACCTGATAATACAAATATATTAAATACCAACCAAAAGTTTTAAATTGTTAGCTATATAACTGGAATAGGGCATTATCTTAACATCAGTACTTATGAGAAACCAAATTATAAACACTTGGTTGTTGGGAAAGCATTGAATTTCATAATCAAGTCATGTGAGTTTGAGATCATAGTCTACTGAAGAAATACATATGGATATTCACATTTGTGGTCAGGTCACCATCTCCCCTGAACGTTTGCCTCTCAAATGGTC